ATGGAAGCTCAATAGACACATCCAAACTCCCTGAGGGACTGAATTGCTGGGCAGAGGGCTGTGGGGACCACGGTCTCGGGGAAAATCTAGCTCAACTGGCATAACACAGTTTACAAAGACAATGTTCTACATTCTACCCTGGTGAGTAGCGTCTGGGGTCTTAAAAGCCTATGAGCGGCCATCTAAGATACTCCACTGGTCTCACCCCTTCAGGAGTAAGCGAGAATGAAGAGAACAGGATACAAGGAAAAGATTAGTCCAAAAGACTAATGGACCACAGCTACTAAGGCCTCCACCAGGCTGAGTCCAGTACAGCTAGATGGTGCTCGGCTACCACCGACTGCTCTGACTAGGATCACAACAGAGGGTTCTGGACAGAGCTGGAGAAGGATGTAGAACAAAATTCTAACACACAAAGAAGACCAGATTTACTGACCTGAAAGAGCCTGGAGAAACCCCAAGCGTATAGCTCCCAGACACCCTTTTAACTCAGTAGTGGAGTCACTTCCGAGGTTCAGCATTCAGCCCAGGATTGGACAGCCCCGTAAAACAAAACATGACTGAGGCACAGCAGTCCAGGGAGGACTAGAAGGCAGAAAGGGACAGGAAAGCTGGTGATAGGGAACCCAAGGTTGAGTAAGGACAGTGTTAACATGTAGTGGGGTTGTTAACCATTGTCACAGGGCAACATGTGTACTGTTTAATGAGAAACTATCTTGTTCTTTAAACCTTCATCTAAGAATAGCAGCACAACTGGAAGAACGTAATCGATGGCACTGAACTGTGCATGTAGAAATTTTTGAAATGGTGTATCTTTGGCTATGTATATGTTCACCAAAAGGGAAAAAAAAAAAAAAGGTCGAGAAGGGAGTGTTGACATGTCATGGGGTTGTTAACCAATGTCATAAAACAATATGTGTAATGACTGTTTAATGAGAAACTATTTGTTCTGTAAACCTTCACCTAAAGTACAATTAAAAAAAAACAAACTATTGGTTACCAGGGATGGGAGGGATAGGGGGGGAACTAGACAACAGATAAGTGGTAACTTGGGTGAGGGGTTAAGACAGTACACAGCACTGGGGAAGCCGGCACAAGTTGTACAAGAAAAGGTCACGAAAGCTCCGTAGATACTTCCAAACTCCCTGAGGGACTGAACTGCTGGGCCGAGGGCTGTGGGGGCCATGGTCTTGGGCAACACCTTGCTCAACTGGCATAACACAGTTTATAAAGACAATGTTCTACGTTCTATCCTGGTGAGTAGCGTCTGGAGTCTTAAAAGTCTGTGAGCAGCCATCTAAGATATTCCACTGGTCTCACCCATTTGGGAGCAAGGAAGAATGAAGAGAACAAGATACAAGGAAAAGATTAGTCCAAAGGACTAATGGACCATAGCTACCACAGCCTCCACCAGACTGAGTCCAGTACAGCTAGATGGTGCCCAGCTAGCACCACGGACGGGGATCACAATAAAGGGTTCTGGACAGAGCTGGAGTAGGATGTAGAACAAAATTCTAACACACAAAAAAAGACCAGATTTACTGGCCTGACTGGAGAAACCCCGAGAGTATGGCCCCCGGACACCTTTTTAGCTCAGTGGTAAAGTCACTCCCGAAGTTCACTGTTCAGCCAGGGATTGGACAGCCTCATAAACCAAAATGGGACCAAAGAGGCACAGCAGTCCAGGAACAAGAACTAGAAGGCAGGAGGGGACAGGAAATCTGGTGATAGGGAACCCAAGGTTGAGAAGGGACAGTGTTGACGTGTTGTGGGGTGGTAACCATTGTCATAGGGCAATATGTATACTGTTTAATGAGAAACTATTTGTTCTGCAAACCTTCATCTAAGGTCCAAAAAAAAAAAGAATTATCTATGTGAGATCAAACTGACAACAGCAACTCAAAAGGTTTGATGGGAAGACTAGGGGGCAGTGAGTTGAAGATAATGGTGATGGAATAATTTGGAAAAGGATAGTGAGAATAGCAGCACAACTGGAAGAATGTAATTGATGTAACTGAATTGTACACATAGAAACTGAAATGCTGTAACTTTGGCTATGTATATTTTCACCATAAAAAAGGTCCTCCAAGGTCGAGAAGGAAGTGTTCACATGTTGTGGGGTTGTTAACCAATGTCATAAAACAATATATGTACTGTTTAATGAGAAACTATTTGTTTTGTAAACCTTCATCTAAAGTACAATAAAAAATATATGTAATAGTCTAGCTTGCCTGAGTCCAGTAACTAAAAAAAAGGGCCTTGTACTCTAATTTGGAAAACAATAATTCTAGAATTAGGATGCTAACCCATATGTAACAACTCTTTAACAAATAATTGGCTTGATCAGGTCAATCAAACCATCCCCCCTCCCATCCACTACCAACAGAAAAGGTATGATTTGTGCTCCTCATGGGTATTTGTTCCTGTGTGAAGGATCAAAATATCCCTATAGTGATATATCAAACCCAGGTGATGAACCTCATGCTTGGGCATTGCCCTGTCTGGATGGATGAAATATGACAGGCCAATGCACTGTAGGCCATTGAGGCATCCCATTGGAAATATACTCCTATGATGAAAGTACTCATTGGGCCAGTAGTTTAAATCTCTTGACTCGGACCAAGAGATCTACTGACAACTATGGATATTTCAACTCCATCCACCTTAGACCTGGGATGGGACATACATTATTAAGGGCATTCTTTTCTTTTTATGGAGTAGGTGAATTAGAGTGGGCACTCAAATTTGACCGCCTCCATGGAATATATCATGAATGAAATTGCTGACAGAATGGCAGCCCACCAAGAATCCTGAAACTCCCTTGTAAAAATGGTTTTAGACAATAGATTAGTCTTAGATTTTCCATTAAACAAAGAAGGACTTTGTGTTATAGCAAACACTTCTTGTTGCACCTGGATTAACAATACTCACGAGGTTGAACAAGATATCGAGAAAATCCACCAAAAAGCTACCTGGTTACAAACAGAAGGCTCAGAATCTGAATCCTCTTAGTTTGATATTTTCAGCTGGTTACCTAAAGGTATTGGATCCTGGATTAGATATGTACTGCTAACTGGATTAGTGATATTGTTGTGGTTATAATTATTGGAATAATCAAATGTTACATGAAATGTATAACCAATGTTATGACACAAAAGACCAATTTAATGCCTATGAGGAGAATTATATACACAGATCAGACCCATTTCCCAAATGGACTCGAGCTCACACCCTGAGCCAGTCTTTTGGGCAGTCAAGCTGTTCCTCCAATGTGGCCTTACTCCACACAGACCGCCCCCCCACCCCTGCCCCCCGTCCAAGATCACAGAAGCTGAAAGTTAAGCCATGGCAGGGTGAAGAGGTCAGATGGTGCCCAACTACTAAACAGTAGTGTCAGGGATCTTAAAGGGTTACCTAAGCAGCCATCTAAAGGAATCACATGTCATCATCACAAGTCCCTGCAGAAGAAAGCATTTATGTATAGTGATCAAGGGATGTTAATGAAATACTTGATCAAAAGAAAGGAATCTGTCAGTTCAAAAACTGAGGTGCTTGACTTGCTTCAGAATGACTGGCCCAGGTCTGAACCCTGACTCCACCTTATCTTTTCTTCTTTCTCCTGCAACCATCAAACCCTTAGACAGACTTAAGTACATAACAAAGGAAACATTTTTCTTTGTGGTTAAACTAAAACTATGGAAAGAAGATTCCTAAGAGAGGGTCTTGATACAAGATTCTTACCAGAAATCCCTCAGCGGCTCTCAGGAAATGTTTTAATTACCTCGTGACCATCTTGTAAAACCCCCCTTAGCCACATATTTAAACTAACCAATCCAAATAGCCCACATTCATGTTTCCAACCAATCACTGTAAAGCCCCCACTTCAAGCTGTCCCATCTCCTGCTTCCCTGATCTTGTAACTTCCAATCAGCATGTTGCACCTTTAGTTCTTGATTTTACTCCATAAATATGCCTCTGTAACTCCACCATTTTGGAGCGTTTGTTTTCACTTTGTGAGATCAAACGTGTCCCCGGTTCAAACTGTTTTGAACCTTCAATAAATCTCTTTGTTTTTAATTTAACAGAGTATGTGTTCTTACTCATCGACAAACCTATTTCTGTGGTAACCAAAGTACACAGGGAAACCAAAAGCAAAGAATAATTCTTCGAATTTTAAAAAGCATTTTATACTACCTAAATTCATTTTAAAGAGCCCTGGTAGTGCAGTGGTTAAGCGCTTGGCTGCTAACCAAAAGGTCGGTGGCTCAAACCCACCAGCTACTCCGCGGGAGAAAGATATGGCAGTTTACTTCCATAAAGACTATGGCCTTGGACACTCTATGGGGTAGTGCTACCCTTTTCTACAGGATCGCTGTGAGTCGGAATTGACTCAGCAGTAATGGGTTTTGGTTTGGAAGTTGATTTTAAACCATATGAAACATACTATATAGAGAGGCATAGCAAAAAACTATTTACCTTCTTTAGCAAAGATTTAATTGCCTAAAGAGCTTAATTAGCTAAGAACACATGTTCTTATGTTTACAAAATCACTGTGACATATTAATTTACATTAAGTAAAACAGATAACATTTAGTTGTAGTCAAATAAAAACATCAAACCTCAGTATAGTGTCCTTTTTTTAAAAGAGAAACCCCAATTACTTTGGGTTATTCTCTATTTAGTTTTTACTTTAAGTAGCTGGGTGACGGTATCTTTTCAATTAAAATAAGATTCTGTACCAAAAACAGCTGAAATGGAAAACAAAGTATGTGAAGCATTGGTGATTCTGTAAAAAGTATTCATCACAGCCAACTCAGTTTTCATTTCTCACACCTTAATGTTGTCTGTAGGCTTTAAAATTACAACTTCCTTTTCTTCATAAATAGAGGTTCTATGCCAGGTAGAAAATGAACATTTCCTTTGCAAACAGCAAAACAAAATTAAACCCTTACAACAGCTACAAATGCACAATTCACCTTAAAATATTGAAAAAACCATGCAAATTTAACAGCACAGAGTACCTTTATTATAGAGAAGTTAATAATTTACAAAAACGACTTCCATTCTCATGGCACTTTTATAAGAGAATTCAATAAGAAGAAACATTGAGAAGCTCTTTCTGTGGAAAAAGATGAAATGGCTGCAGCTTTGAAAGACAAAATTATATAGTGGTCTGGTTGCAACTGTTATCTTCTTTCCTTATTAACATATTCTAGAACAAGAAACATGATACTATGAGCTCATAAAGTCTTTTATTTGAAGATTTTGCAGCCTTTAATAAAACTGTAGCACTGTTAATCCCACTTAGATGTTTTTCTCCTCATATAACTGTGTCCCTCACTATCAATAGCTTCATAGAGGTCCTTTTTATTCTCTTCTGTTGCATGTAGATAACCAATATAAGCCACGCAAAGTGAAAGGGTTATCAATCCAAAAGCCATTACCGGTTTGTTCTATTAAAGAAAAAAAAATTACAAAGCCTCATTAAAACTAATAATTTGAGGAGACCCAAATATATGTTGTACTTTCCTCTTAACATGCCAAGTCTTTATTACCACAATAGCATTCCTATGGCAATAATTTCAATTATAATCATTTACCCTGTTCTTAATTCAATCAACTATGGGAGATTCTTGCTTCTCCTCCCATCTTCCTCCTATCTACACCCTGGAAATCTCAGACATCCACTGTGAGGTAGATTGCAGCTGGGTGAGGAGTGGGGGGAATGTGAGGCATAAAAATTGGTCCGGTGCTCAGAGTTTTCAGCGTTATCTGTATGACATGAAGAAGTCACAATCTGTCTGGGTTGAAGTTCACCCATTTGTAAATCTCAAATTAGTTAATTGTATTGAGAAGTGATAAATGAAGCATACATGCTATCCTTCTTGCCCGACTCATGAATAGCTGGCAAAAAGCCTTTCATGACATATATTAGGCACAGCAATAATGACAAACAGTGTATGCATTCTTATCTAGGAACTGTAATCTGTTACCTCAAAAAATGTACAGTGATTAGAACAGGTATTATGCTGTTACAATAATTTAATTTACTACTGGAGAATCCAAAACTCTATGAGGCAAAAGGATGTAGCTTTGAATTTTCTTTTTTTAAAAAGGGCGTTTACATATAGGAAAAATATTTACAATTCCAGAGAACTGTTATGTCTTATCACACTTTCTGACTACCTCAAACTAAGAACCTCCTTTTTTGCACATGTACACTCAACAAATTGGCCTTTCTTAAGTCAGTGAGAATGCACAGTAGTGATACAAGTTTTTCGCTATTCAACTAGTATATATCTTCTGCTTCTGTTACCATACCTGTTGCATTACTACTATTTCAAACCTTAACCTTATTGAAAGATAAGGGTCAAACTTTTTCACTTGGATGGACATCTAAGAAATGCCACAAGTTCACAGCAGTTTAAATCTGCAATTCTTGAAATGCTTTTAGCAATTAAAACAACACATTAGTTCTTAACATTCTACTTTGATATAATGATTCCACTGTTCAGTTGACCTATTTAACTTCACAGCAGTTTACACTGGCAACTACGTAATTAAAGTTGTAATAAAAGTTTAATGCATTTAAATTTTTTTTATCATGTTTTATAATAAGTTGACTTCATTTACATTTACTTAAAAATAAAATGTACATCTATTTTAAAGTAAAATTCGTCTAATCAAATAATTTGTAACAAAAATATAAGTGTCTGGCTTACTCCCTTATAATATACAAATGTTATGTTTCAGAATTTTTCAGAAAATGTTTCCAATATCCCTTGGATAAAAATATTATTAATAAAAGCTAGAACTGCAGTCTGTAAGAATAACCAGATTTTCATTTTTTTTTATTTCAATGGACTTATTTAGCTAAAGTACTTAATCAAACAATAATTTCCTTCAAACTAATGCAACTATTAAAATGGCATTTTAAATAGTTTGAGGGAGTTGATCCATTAAAGTCTAACCATTTTCCATTATAATTCTCAAATACTCTGAAAATATTTAGTTTTTTAAAATTTAACTTTATATGTGTATTTAGTGAAACAGAATTTAAGATTTTCCTTCCACCTGCTTTTATTCACTGGTCTTATTAGTATAAAATTTACATAGTAAAATCAAATGTTACAGGAAAATAAAAACTTTTTATTTCTGGTAGTCTAGTTAGATTAAACATAAAGCCTTATTCTGGATGTATTTCTTACAGGTTTAATGAAAAGCTCTGGATTCACAGCTCGAAATAAGGTTGTTGTGCGGACCCCTCTGAGTCCTGGGTTTCTAAAGTCTTTCTCTTTGGGCGATTCACTTTTAAAGGCTGGGGGTTCAGGTGCTGAAGACATCTTGATCAATGATGATTTATTACCTAAAAACAAAATAAGAGGCAATTTTTCCTTCATAATGGTGTTTCTTTCATAAGCTTCTTTTAAAAATATTCTATTATACTTATTCTTTTTTTCAATTCCAGGACAGATACATACCAAAAATGACTGTCAATTACTTTATTATTTTGCATAACACATACTTTGCAAATGGTACTTTATGATTTCTTTGGTAAAATGGTTCATCATGTTTTCATCTCATAACACATACCAATGAGGTAGGTAAAGGTTGTTTTGCTACTTTTACAAAAGTCTGAAGAATTTTTGTTGGTCTGAATCACGTTGTATCCTGTATACTACGGGAGTACTAAGGGTATGGAGTGGTCATTGGGTTATCCACACTTTTTTCTTTTCCATTTTCACTCTTTCTCACCTTCCAGCAGCCTTTCCCAGATACCAACCTGAGGGAAATACCGGCATTCCCTCTGCTCAATATATTCTACAGCTTCGTTACCCCTGGCCCACATCCCCCTCCGCCTTCCTCCTCTGGCCCACCCAAGCACAAGTCCCAAGCAGTCAGGATAACTAGCTGTTTGTAATCACTTCTCCTCTGATTGTCTGTGACTCTCTGGGAAGGACATGCTCTGCTCTCTCCCCAACTGAATATCCATTTTTCTCTTAGCTACTCTAAATCTATCCTTCCTATTAAATCTAAGTGTGTCTTTTGTCTTCTCATTCTCCTAGCTAGAGTGTCAACATTTTGGGAACATTTTTCTCTTCTAGGTACTATCAGGAGCCCTGGCAGTGGAGTGGTTAAGCACTTGGCTGCCAACCTAAAAAGGTCAGCAGTTCGAATCCACCAGCCACTCCTTGGAAACCCTATGGGGCAGTTCTACTCTGTCCTGTAGGTTCACTATGAATTGGAAGCAACTCAACGGCAACAGGTTTAGGTACTACCAGGCAAATGCTTATTTTTCTCATTCCTGCTACCTAAAGCTGGGGGGAGGAAGAAGGGGAAAATGTTGAGAAAGAAACATACCAAAGGCTGAAATTAATGACAATAAAATTCTTTGGGAGAAATGCTGCAACTCCATTACAGTAAATGTTCTGAAATAAGAGTCCAACATTTCAATTTAAACACTGACAAATTTCTCAATGGGGCTTTGTTTACACAAGTATTCTTTATTCATTAGGTCTTCCATTTCGGAAACTTTATAATAGCAATATTTGTGCACTTCATCAGTTGTGGAGAATACGGGAGTTCTGCTTTTCAAAACAGTCCATGTTGCAGTGGTCTTGAAATATTCATCTACGCCACTTAGTTGAGTAAATACTTCGTCAGGAACATCTGTTTGAATGGAGAGGAATCTCCAGACATGTTCTACACTTGCCAGGCTTCTGAAATGGTCACTGTTGGCTCTTCTATCACTTGTTCCTCAAGGATGTGATGGTTATCCTTGTCACTACCATCATCATCATCATCACTTTCTGGTACCATTTTGACACGTTAGCACTACTGTAGCGATTTGAAGGTTCTCTCATTCTTGAGAAATAAATTGTTATCTGTAGCCACAAAGTCTCCAAAATCAAACTGATTTAGGACACCAATGACAGCAGATTGGACCAAATACCACATTTAGTTTGCTGTCTTCTTTCAGGCCGACCCCCAGAGATTCCACAGGAATCATGCCTGTTTTCTGGCAACACTTCACAACTGTGAGTGACTACAGACAACCAGGCTTCAGCACTCTTATTCATGGCTTGCTTCATATTAGATTTTCTCAGTTTTCTCTTTATCATCCAAATTGAGAGATGTTTCAGCAACTGGCTTCAGTAGTGTGCTTCCACTGTACAAATTATACCCAATCCAATGGCTGCAGAACGGCTGTGCAGTTCACTGGGCAAAATTCAACACATACGTGATTCAAGCATAGGAGTGTGTTGTGTGGAGAGCAACTGTCTACCAGCGAGAGAAGACTGCATTTTAATCCCTTCATTCTCCTGTCAACATTTCTCAGCTATTCATTACATAAACCCCTTGTCATTCAGGCATGTGCACTGGCTTGGCAATCACAGGGGAGCACAGGAGCTTTCTGAAGCACTAGGGATTAGCTGCCTTGCCAGCGATGAGTGGTCTCATTTTTTCCATCCCAGATGCATTATAGTCGAATAGTCAATCTCTGTTTAGCTCTTTTGCAAAGACCATCTTTGGCATGAAATATATGATAAGGTAACAACTTGTAAAGAATATCTGTTTCAACACCATTAAAAACATCACCCAAACTGTAGTCAGCAATTAGTTTATTTTTCCTGCACACAAGTCACTAATTTTCCATACTATAACAGTGTTTTCTTCACTTTAACTTCTGAAACAATTCCATGTCATGCCTCAAATCTGTTCAGTCAGCCCACGCTTGTTGGACACTCATCATGTCCAAGACGGCTGGCAAAATCTAGTGCTTTTTGCTGAACAAGTGTTCTACTTACATGCCCATTTTTTGCAAGGACTTCTTAGACATCATGCAAAAACAACTGTATCAGTGTCACTCTAAACGGCACCTTGCAATCACTCCTGTTTTAGTCCCAGGATTTCTTCTTTAACCTTTTCTTCAATTTTGGTTTAATCATTAAAAAAATATGGACAACGTAAAGGGAGTAATCCAAAATTAACTATTTCTCCCTTCTTGCAGTGAGATTTTACTGCTTCTACTACTTTAATGTTTTCTTCTAATGAAAACTGCCAGTCCAGTATTTCATCTTTCCTCTCTAAATGGATGGACTGTACAAATGTATTTAGTACTTTAAGTAACAAGTGTTGACTACCAGGTGCCTAAGCCATGGGCCGGTGATGATTCTCCTTATGCTAGTTTAAACATGAATGTGGGGAAGAAAAATTTCAAAATGAAGAGATCATTAAAGTGAAAGCAGTATTTTAGTCTATAAGCAGGTCATGCTTATAAGAAATGTCAGGTAGGAAATGTTTAATGCACGGTCATATCGTTAGAACTAAATCACAGTCTCAGAGTGTACCATTAACTGAAATCGGGTCATTAAATAAAAATATGGGAGGTGTGGTCAACATGGCAGACTAGTTAGACGCTTCCTATATCCCTCTTACAACAAAGACCTGGAAAAACAAGTGATTTGATTCTATGTGAACGTCTGACAGCCCTGAACAAGGCAAGGTTAAGAAACCCATCTGAGTCATACTGGAGAGGAAGATCGCTGGAAGAGATGAGGAGCACTAGAGCCACGGCAGCGACACAGCAAAGACACAACCACGCTGGGCCGCAGTGAAGCAGGCAAAACAGCTATGCTGTGCGCGTGCTCGAGAAGCAGTTTCCACATCGAGAGAGACCTGGCAGCAGAGATTCTGCTTGGACACTCCGAACCAGTGAAAAGCAGCTCCCAAGAGGTTAGGATAAGTACATGCGCGCACCCTTTCGCGGCGAGTTAAAAAAAAAAAAAAAAAGCCCATTTGGGAAAAATCTCTCTCCCTTTTACCTCCTATCTCTGTGCTGTCCACCGGATTTGGGAAAAACCTCTCTTCCTTTTACTGCCTCCCTCCCCACTCTGCACCGGGAGTCCACTGGGCCAGAAATAGATCCCAAAAGGCGACCTGACCCACTCTCCCGGCCTTGGAGAGGGAACAAATAAGCTACTGGCTCCCCTAGGCCAGGAGCACAGGTCGGCACAACTCCTTTGCTGGCCATAGAAATCAGGGGTCCGCAGACTCTGAGTGCCATACACCCCTGTATAGACTAGTGGGGACCCAGCTCAACGGCCTTGGTCCTCACTACCACAGTACAACAGGGCAAACATCTGAAGTTTAACTTCAACTGCTTCAGCTGTGAACAGGTAGATTTGTGATCCTCGAAACAGCCCTGCCCCTCAAGTAGGCACTTTTATTGATCTGCAGCAGGGTCTTGAGGACTGCTGATAGCTCCTGAAGTGCCTAGTCACCTGCTACAGGAGTTCAGGAAGGAGTGGTGCCCTCCAGTCTTTGCAGCCAACATAGTAGGGTGCTCTTAGCCCGCCTGCAGAACTCACCTACCTATTCACCCTAGAGAATAGGGACACACTTTTCTTTCAGACTCTCAGGGGCAGCCATCGGCCCCCTGCCTGGCTCAGCACGTGATCCCCTACCACAGCCAGAGTCCAGTGCCTGCACCAATCACCCATGCCTCTCTAGGACTGGGGGTGAGAGCCTGTATCACGCACTTGGTGACCGACTGCCTGAACACCTGAGCTGATCCCATATAGGAAATTTTAACGAATTCCGGCGTGCACATACTTAGCTACAGAACCAACTACCTGGTGACAGGACGTTAGAGATCAAAAGGTGTCAAAAATCAAACTAGTGCACACGAGCAGCCTATGTGGGCATATCAAAACAAAACAAAATAAGAAGCTATGTCTCACTAAGCAAACACAAAATAAAATTACAATAAATTATTGATGGCTCGGAGACAACAGTCAATATGAAGTCACATAAAGAGGCAGTCCATGATGGCTTCAGCAAGCTCCCAAAATAAAGAATCAATAAATTCTCTGGAGGAAGAGAACTTCTTGGAACTACCAGAGACAGAATACAGAAGATTAATATACAGAACTCTTCTAGAAATAACAAAGGAAATTCGACAGAATGCAGAAACAACCAGGCAACATACAGACACAGTAGTAGCAGAACTTAAAGAAGTTATTCATGAACATAATGCCAAATTTAATAGGCTGCAAGAATCCATAGAGAGACAGCAATCAGAAATCCAGAAGATTAACAATAAAATTTCAGAATTAGACAACTCAACAGAAAGTCATAGGAGCAGAATTGAGGCAGTGGAAGTTAGAATTAGTGACATTGAAGATAAAGCTCTTGATGCCAACTTATTTGAGGAAAAATCAGATAAAAGAATTAAAAAGAATGAAGAAACTCTAAGAGTCATGTGGGACTCTATCAAGAGAAATAACCTACGAGTGATTGGAATACCAGAACAGGGGGAGATAACAGAAAATACAGAGAAAACTGTTGAAGATTTGTGGACAGAAAACATCC